ATATATATATATATATATATATATATATATATAAGGAAGGGTTCAAACGAGAACCCCTGTGATTTACGAGAATGCGAGAACAACCCAATAACCTCATATTATGATAAAAAATAAAATCAAAAGATTTTTAAAATTAAAATTGAAATTTAAAAAGATTCAAAAATATTAAAAATAAAAGGGTAATAATGGAAATGATATCATAAAATCTTTTAACACGATTACACACGATCATCATTATCTAATAAACGGTTAATCATGTGATATGAGTGTGATAATCATGTGATTATCACACAAATATCACATTATCGCTTATATCAACACGATTTGGGTGTGATAATCATGTGATTATCACACAATTATCACATTATCGCTTATATCAACACGATTTGGGTGTGATATAGGTGTGATAATCATGTGATTATCACATTATCGCTTATATCAACACGATTTGGTGTGATAATCATGTGATTATCACACAATTATCACAAGGATTCCGTTCGTCTAGGGTTAACTTAGAAAATCGACTACCGATTTGATGTGATATGAGTGTGATAATCATGTGATATCACTATCATAACAGCGCACTCGATTTGATCATGGTTTCGATCGGTTAGGGTTAGACAATTACACATTTATCACAACGATTACTAATGGTTTCGATAGGTTAGGATTAGACAATCACACATTTATCACAACGGTTACGGGCGACATCCACTAAACGATTTGGTGTGATATGAGTGTGATAATCATGTGATATCACTATTATAACATCACTTGCGCACTCAATTTGATCATGTTTCGATCGGTTAGGATTAAACAATCACACATTTATCACAACGATTACTCATGGTTTCGATAGGTTATGGTTACACTTGACTGATCATGGTTTCGATAGGTTATGGTTACACTTGACTGATCATGGTTTCGATAGGTTATGGTTACACAATCACACAATTATCACAAGGGAAAGAAGAGAGTGGAAACGAACGTACATGAAAAAAATGGATAATTATGACTAATTAAAATAAAATAAAAATTATAAAAAGTATTTAATTACATTACTGTCCTTATTAATTTATTTATATTCAATATAAGTTAATTTATTAATTAAAAAAGTTTGAGGTTATTAGGTTGTTCTCGCATTCTCGTAAATCACAGGGGTTCTCGTTTGAACCTCCACACACACACACACACACACACACATATATATATATATATATATATATATATATATATATAGGGTTGGCTTCACGTGAGACCAACCTGTTTTCGTGAATGAGACCACTTCTCTACACTTGAAATTTCACAGCAAAAACATTGTAAAGATAAAAAAATCTGAAACTTCACAGCGAAA